ACAAAACCTTGTTGAAACGTTGTACATTTGCTGTTGTGTTAAACTTATATTAAAGTTTTTCTTCATTACCCATTCAAGCCGTCTCGAACCATTATTACTCATAAAGTTAACCTATATATACCGTCATAATTAATTGAAAAAAGTAAGTACTATTGTAGGATTTGTTTGTTTGTAATTATGCACAAAACTACACAATGGGATATCTGTGCTCTGCCCACTGGGGGGCACTGTTGTAGGAAGCTTAGCTGATACTAAAATTATGTCTGAAATTAACAGAATTTTATGTTTTTATTGTTGTAAGTATGTAATGTACAGCTGCTTACTATTATTCAGAATTTATTTAATTATTTCAATTTTTTACCTTAACACCTAACTGAGGAACTTTTCAGTTTCATTCACAATTAGAAAATCAAGCTAAGCCTATTATAAATCATATAAACATATCAAGACATAACATTAAGTGACAAGCGACCTTACCTTTCAAAACATTATCACCATCACCTTTGTCAGGTGTCATAAAATGATATTTTGACAGTATTTTTTCTCAAGATTAATTTATATTAAATATTTATACTTTGTTTTCTATAAATAAGAAGTTATGGTCTTTGTTTGAATAGAATAAACATAACATTTTTTCAATATTATGAAACAGGAGTTGTGTTATTTAGTTAATTTGCCATCGCAGATGTAGCCAACCGTACTCTGTGGTATATGTAGTTGAAGAATATCCTTGTAGTTTTCCAGTATTATACAAAAACATCAGTCATGACATAAAGATCACTAGAAAAAATCTGACTTCCAAATGTTATCTAAGTTTTCAAAGATCCTTAGAGGTTTCAAATGCTTGACTGATTTTCTCAACACTATTGTGTTGTCACCTAAAAAGCATTAGAGGTCGTAATCTTTCTCTGAACAAACAAAAGGCATAGAAACATAAAATAAACATCAAGCTAACTGAAAATGCTGAAATTGGAGTTGAAGAAATAAATATATGAAAAGTCAAAATAAAATTTAGAAGTGTACACATCAAGATACGTGACAGAAATGCAAGTTTGTTAGTTTGCGAAATAAATGAAAATTTTGAGTAAATAATACTTGTAATAATATTACAATTATATTTTTTTATTAAGTCTTTATTGTTGACTTTGAGCGAGGCTTGAGTGACCCTCTCCGTTCTGGAAAGAATTAAGCAAAATCACGGAATTGGAGAGAAAGAATGAGAGAGTAATCTACAATAATTATATATTATTGTAGATAATTTAAGAGAAACACTTAGGATAATAGATAAGAGGAGCCAAATGTAGTTTGATGATTTTTACTTTTTTTTATGTGCAGTTGTAATATTTTTTTTTTATAATCGGTTATAATACATCATTTTGAACTAACCCTAATGATTGTAAAAAGACTAGCACATTCACTTTTGTATGTCCTGACCCAAACCTATGCATATTTAGCTCATAAATGTACGTGATTGGCTACGCTGCAGCTTTCCTTCTTATATCCAGATCTTTGTAGTAGTTACTGGTAAGAAATAAACAGGGTCCATATCATCTTCAAAGTGTGTGAAAATCCAGTCATTGTGTAGCCCAAGAACTATGAGACCAGGAATACTATTGACAACTAGTATATGTTTGCTCTGTCATAGTAATTCATGGTGTACAAGTCCATCGATGTTCTATCCTGTAAGTGAAGTTCTGGAAAACTATGAATCAGTCAGAAAAAAATATTTTGTAAAGTTTTTGAACCCTGATTAAAAGATGGTTAGATGTGCCAGTATTACTGAATTGTAATACTGTAATACTGAATTGGCTGCCCAAAATGAATCTTTCCTTGGTCCATGTAAACTTGAAACATGTCAAACAAACTGTTTCTCCCGCCATAACTGTTACCAGAGCCTGCAGTGGTGTGGGGTTGCTGGAAATGGACTGTATTTTGTGAAATGCTCGATAAGGCCACGATGCTCAAGGTAACAACTCTCATGTGTCAAAATTGAGCCAAACAACAATTGTAAATTGACGGGTTGGTCAATGAACGTCATTACCCGCTGTCTACTGTGCTGTAGAGGGCTCTGAATATTATTGTTTCATCCTAATCTTGAACAGAAGTGAGGTAATGTCATGACGACAAGGGCTCGTTTGATGTAGTTGGTAAATAAGTAAATTATTAATCTATTATTGCATTGCAACATTTTGGAAAATGCTGTACTGTCTGCATTGATATAATTCTATGCATCATGCTATACTGCACATAGCGTCCAGCACTGGTTTTAGATTAATAATGTCTAGTATGTGTCGTGGCCAGAACTTATGTTCAAACTAGTTAACCACTGATACACTTGGGAACAAAAGATACAGATATCAGAACACCTGGAACTACTTTCTGTTCTATGTACATGTGTGTGCTAATGAATGGTCAAGAGTTAGTAATGAAGTCCAGGCTCTGATTAAAAACATATCAGAACACTTGGAACTACTTTCTGTTCTATGTACGTGTGTGTGCTAATGAATGGTCAAGAGTTAGTAATGAAGTCCAGGCTCTGATTAAAAACAGTGATTGGCTCTTACATGACAGTCCATTTCTAAGGATGAGCTGTCCGGATACTCTTGGTAGTATATGTACACATACCAAGAAAGAACTCGCACTCGAATATGTAATGAACGACATTAATATATTAATTATTCACAAGAGTTAAAGAGTGCTTTGAATATCAATGTTTGATAAATTCAACCAGATTATTTTGAATATGATTATCATGAAGTCTAAACATGGATTCTGTAGCCACCACCATATTAAATAGCTTTAATTACAAAAATTTCACATTTAAAGGAGAAAAACATTTGATTTGCATAACTGCGATGCCAATGTGAATCAAGTGTAAACTACTTTGAGCTGATCTTGTATTCTCATACATCATAAGAAAAATACAGTTCGTTGAATCAAATTCTCGTTGATTCAATTAATATTTATAAACTTTTCAAGTATTATTCTTAGGGCCTGGTCTGGTGGTTAGAGTACTCGTCCCACAATTTGCGGGTCATGGGTTCGCTTTCCCATTATCAAACATGCTCTCCCTTTCAGCCATGAGGTGACGGTCAACCCCATTATTCATTGGTAAAAGAGTAGCCCAAACGTTTGCTGTGGGTGGTGTTGACTAGCTGCTTTCCCTCTAGTCTATCACTACTAAATTAGGAACAGCTAGTGCAGATAGACCACGATTTGCTGTGTGTGTGAAATACAAAACAAACTAAACTATTCGTAATTCATAGTGATTGATAACTTTGTTTGATGCCTGTAATAGTGTTCATGAAACAGACCTGGAAATTAAAGTATAATATTAGATATGTTTAAATGCTCGGAATGGTTTATTAGTGCATGCAAAGACTTGTAATTTTAATCTGTAATATCTCTCATGTTATTCTGAATTGTAATAGGGTCTGAACAATAATGGTGGTTTTAGCATTTTACAGCATATCTCTGTGAAATTTCATTATAGAAACAGGTTAAATTTTTAAGTAAAAAATTACGTTAGTTAATTAAAACTCTGGTTCCACTTGAGCCAGGTTTAACTGATATTTTAGGTTAGACATCACTCTTGTATCATGTTCTGTGAACTAGGTTTTCTTCATCTCTAGGTAGTTACTTTTATATAATATATCCTGTATAGGCTAGGTATTGCTGAAGTATAGATCTTTCATTGTGTAGTGATATATTCTGTGTAAGTTAGGTATTGTTGTAACTTTATATCTTTCATTGTGTCATTATATATTCTGTGTAAGTTAGGTATTGTTGTAACTTTATATCTTTCATTGTGTAGTGATATATTCTGTGTAAGTTAGGTATTGTTGTAACTTTATATCTTTCATTGTGTCATTATATATTCTGTGTAAGTTAGGTATTGTTGTAACTTTAGATCTTTCATTGTGTAGTGATAAATTCTGTGTAAGTTAGGTATTGTTGTAACTTTAGATCTTTCACTCTGCCGTGGTATGTTGTATGATTATAAGTGTACTTCTAATAGAACATTCCGAACAGCCTTTTCAGATTTCCTAACATTAAACTGTTTTGGTTGTGGATAGGAAATTTCAAGTTTTAGAATATGAACAATGTTAGTTGTCTTTGTGTGTTCTACGTGTTTGTCACAATTACCTTGATTTTGCAAATTTCCAATTGCATGTGGTTTGTTCTCTTCAGTTATTTATCGGTTATGTGTGTTTCTCCCATTTAATGGATGTTGCAAGTTGTTTTGTAAAGTTTCTATATCTAGGTTGGTTTCAAGATCATCTAGCTTACATAGAATATAACATAATACCTCACATTTTGTAGGTTTTTCATTATTTTGTAAGTCTTGTCATTTTAATGGTTACTATTTTACAGTTCTTGTGTAAGTTGAATGTGATGGATTACTCCTTCTTGCTTGGAGTCCATGACTGTGATAAAGCGGACCAAGAGCGATCGGAAGTGATGGATGCTGATGGTAGTGGAGGAGAAAATGGAGGGACACTTCCCACTGATGAAGATGAAGATTCTGCTGGTAGTGGTTTAGTTCCAGCAGTGCCTACTCCTCCTGACTCACCCCAGACTGGTAATCCTCCCGATGTTGGGCCACTTGAACTTGACCAACACAGAGATATCTATGCTATCAGCAGTTACGAAGGTGAAGTTGAATTTCTGTTTTCTTATATCAAACATATGTCATTGCTTATTTAGTGTTTGGAGGCTTTCAAAGTTGTTCACTTTTATTTTTTTAAAAGTTATTGATGTTGTCCACATTCAAGGATATTTGAAGAAGCATCTTTCACACTGCTTATTTCATACAATGGGCCTGATTACCTCCCAGTTCTATTGTAGAGGATTGGGGAGGTAATGGTTTTTACCTGATGTAAAGAAATGTAAGTATGCAAGTGTGGTTGCGGGGAGGCAACGATACCAGTCACAATGTGTGGTATAGCAGCATAAAACTAAGAGAGTAGCTACATGTAGTTTCTGTTCATTCACTGTGTACAAAATTGGTTGATTTATCCAAAATGTGTGGTTATCTTTGCTTTGAGGCTGTGGATAGTCTGCTATTTGGTTGTAATTGAGCACACTTTGGCAGGAAAGAGCATGTTCCTAGTAAATATAAATATTTGTGAAGGCTATACTGTATATATATATATATGGAAGCAAAACTGTCAGAAACGTGTTTAACACATCAAATTGAGTCTACTAAGAAATAAAATAAAAGTCAGTTTAAAGTTCTTGAAAATGTCCTTAATGATGTGGATTTATCTGTGTGTATTGGACAGTTGTGTAAAAACTGGATTAGCATTGATATTTTTGTAATTTCCATGATCCCTTATGACCACCAACTTGTCCCTTGCACACGAAGCTTGTGCATTAAGAGGCATATTCCGATAAGGTACTCTCCCTCCGCTCTCAGGATTAGCTTTCCTCATTTTGTGCTGCCCTCTGTAAGCAAACTTTTTCAGAAATGCATGCCACAAGCCTTCATCTTCCCTAAGTTCCAACACGTCTCTCATGCAAATCATCATGCATCACCTCTCCACCAACAGGAGAGCATTACTATCACATGACATCTCACTCCCTCTACGTGCCACTACCAAACTATCATTTCTTGTGTGGCAGCTGTCGAGTTCAGACGTTCTTTCTTACATTGTTCAGTTACCTTGAAGTGGTTTATTTTTCTTCACAGTTGTAGAGTTAATATTTTTATGAAGGCATTACTTCCTCAAGTTTGCCACTTTTTCCTGCTTATGAATTCCAAAGTTACAGTCACCACTCCAGGTACTTCACCAGCATCTGATGCCATATTTTCAGGCACGGGTGACTGGTCGAGGGATATATCATTGCTCATTTGCCGGGAGATTTATCAGTATATACGAGCCAACGTCTCTCACCTTCTTCTGCTCCGTTTCCTCCCGAGCCTTTCGAGCTGAGCCAGGCTGATGACGATTTTGATCGTTTGTTCCTCTCCCTCCCCTCCCCCCGGAGTTTCCCGTGCCTTCCCTTTCACTTCCTGATGATTCTGCTCATCTCTCATCATTTTTTTTCATACTTTATCTCTCAGGTATGTGATGTTTTGTGTCTTACAACTGTTTTTGATGGCCCTAGACCTTCCCTCTTACATGAAACCACCTCCCCATGCTATTTAGTTTTTCCCCTGTCCCCCAATAGTAGAGATCATGTGCACTGATTTGCCTCTCAACTGGGGGAGGGTGTTAGTATGCATCGTCCCTCACAGACTTCGGATCAGTCTGCCCTTGCTTATCATTGGATGGAATTTCCCTTTCTTTGAGGTTGGTTCTACTTGTTTGGGGGAGTGAATCCATATTACCCTGTCTAACTTACCCAAGCCGAATTTTCTTACCTTCATATCACCCTCACAACTCTGATAAGGTACCTTTCCTCCTTTCAGAGGCTCTTCACAGGAACCCGGAAAGGTTTTCTGCTGAAATCCTCTCCATCCTTGACTCATACGTTGACTCATCTGTTGTCTTTGGCTTTCACGCTTCAAACTTGCTTTGTTTGTTGTTAGGACCTCTTAGGCCATGACACGGTTTTGGCACAGACCCATCTCCAGGCTCCTTATCTGTGGAACCTCCGAATGGTGCCATTTTTACAGCGTTATGTGTTTGACTCGGTTCCTGAATCTTTGGAGTTGCAGGTGGCCTTGGCCCATCAACATTCTACTTTCACTAACTTGGTAGCTTGTTTGTCACAGTCGGAGCTGAGCACGGCACTGGTTGCTGTACCCCAACCTTTCCCTTCCCACCCTCCTGCAGTGCCACGGTTCAACAATTTACTCGACGATGCACGATCCACCAACAGCAGTACCAGTGACTATGTGGTCAGTTTGGGTCCAGTGGGTTGAAACATTTGGATATTTTTGATGGAATTTTACAATTGTTTCAATATGTTTAGCATTTTAAAAGAGTTTAAGAAAAAAGCTGTGATGGTTTTCTGAGTTTTAAGTGAACGTATTCATGAAGAAATGGCATAAGTAAAGACACCTGAATTACGAAATAGGGTCAAGAGCTAGAAAGTACAGCTAGCTGGTTAAGTGGTATTAAGAATCACGAGTTAGTGAATCACAAATTCAGAGTTATAAAAATGAAGCTATTGCCTTGCAACGAAGTAGATGCGTTAGTACTGTGGAATCTACGAAAAAGTTGATGTTAACATGCAAAAGCGGTACTTTGATGATGTATTCCTTACATGACACTGGTGTGCTGGCACAAGTGAGAAGGCAACTGGCTAACTCTCCATCACTTGAGAGTTTTGGTTAGGACTAGCCCGGGAAGTTGCACAGATCGACCAATGAAGTGGTAGAACTACTTGCGGGTAGTTAGGAATACTACTTGGAAGGTCGACAGAATACAAAGAAAGTATGGGTTAAAAACTCATGTCTGGAGCCGAAAAATCAGTTGTTCTTGATCTCCTTAGAGTTATCTTCAGGAAGAATCACCATTTTTCCAGTTTCTATGAATATGAAGGTCTCAAACCTCCAGAAGTATACTGGCCCAGCCCTGTTGTAAGTATAGAATTATTATCTCTCTTGAGCAATTAATGTAGTTAGTAGTAAAGGATAATCATGTTTATAATTGAGAAATTAATTCTATGTGTATTGATCATAAGTACTGATTAAAAGTAACAGTAAAAGTTATAACGATTAGCAAACTTTTGACTATTATTGTTTGCTATGTGGAAAAATTTAATAAATGTTGTTATATTTTGTTCAATGTTAGTCATGGAATTTATTTCTTTATTCTAACTGTAAATTACATCGAGCTTGTGAGCTCCACTCACCACCGCAAATTTGGTGTAATCAGCAGTATAACTTGTTTGATAGCATTTCTTGTACCAGGTGCTTTCAATCTCTTAGCCAATCATCTGTCCTGAATGGATCACGTTAATCCCACATGTTCCCTGTTTCACCTCTCTTTGAAGGCATATTTCTTCCTCCTCCTAGCCTGTGGGCATCATAGATCAGATATTTGCATCCTTGACATTACCAGGACCTTGTACCACTCCTCCTATCTTATCCTTTATCCGGATCATGCTTTCTTTCCTAAGACCCCTGCGGCTCGAGAAGGTCAGTCCTCCTTTTCCCCTATCTGCCTATCCTCTATATCTCATCTTTACCCTCGTCCTGATCTGGATAGACTCCTCTGTCCAGTCCGTGCCTTCCGTTGTTATATTGCTCGCACAGCTTCCTTCTGTGGTCCTTGTTCCCACCTTTTTATCCATTGGCAAACTTCCTCCTCCCGTGATCTTTTCTTGGTTACCCTGGTTCAATATTTAATTCAGTTAACCTATTCCTCTTTGTCTTCTTCCCAGTGTCATCTCTTTCATTTTTCCTCACATCTAATCCATCACCTTACCTTCTCTCTCTTGCCTCTCGTCTTTGTTGTCTATTGGAGAAGATTCTACAATTGGGCATGTGGAAGACTCTGCACACATTCATCTCCCACTACATACACCACATCACCTTCCACCTGTGGCTATTCTACAGACTTCAGCATGGCTGTGACATGAGGTAAATCCTTACTTGCTTTCCTTTCATTCAGGGGCCTCTGCTTCAGCTTCACTTTGGATCTCACTCTGTGGCAAGTGGTGCCTGACCAGGTTTTCTGTCTTTACTCAGAATGGGTTCCACTTAGATGGCTATAACCATTTGCAGACATATTGCTATCAAATCTGAGCTGTAAATCATGTTGATTCTTATACATTTTCCATGGCTATATATGCTCACCCTTGATATAGGGTGTTTCACAAGATCACAAGAGTGTAAATTCCTCCTGATAATTGCATTATAATGTGCCCATCCTGGACTGTACCACCCGTGGACGACATGGGTAAAGCAGAAGGGGATTGCTGCCCATCCCTGCCATACCTAGATTGAATAAATCAGTGTGGTCTGCTTTTAAATATAGGGTTTTGTGATCACCCATTGCACTGTCTCGGGTGTTGCAGTCCCTCCTGACTCTCCACCTCACTTTTTGTCCCTTTCTTTCAGTGGAGTACGGGAGTCCTTACTTCTTTCCAGTTCCAAGCTGCTGTGGTGGTTGACTGTAAAGGCAACCTGTTGGATGGATTCCACAAACATGGCTATAACCATTCAGTTCAGAGTAGGGTGGTGGTGTT